GTCCAAACGCTCCAGACGGACTCAAAACGATCCATGACACAATTGCGGATAGTCTGCGCGCGATTAACAACATGGCTATCGAAACCGATTCATGGGGGCAATGGTGATGCACATCGTACGCGAAAAAGTGGATACAGCAACCTTGGCTGCGTTTGAGAACACCCTACCAGCCCCAAAGGAGATATCGTCACTCAAGAATTTCTTGAGCTTCGTGGAAGCACGATTTCAATCATTAGAACTTACAAATGGCAGCAAGGCCACAGAGGGCAGCAACCACAAGGTACAGGCAGAAAAATGGTGGGCACGAGTCTATCACACCAACATCTTGAGATGCCCTATCTGCAAGGAAGATCACCACCTTCCAACATGCGGGAAGTTTGGGGCAATGTCAACAAGGGAGCGATGGCAAATCGTCAAGGAAAAACAGTTGTGCTTCAATTGCCTAAAGCACGACAAAATGACAAGGTGCACCAGTCCAAATTGTTGTAGAATTAGCAACCGACAACACCACAGCATGCTGCATATCGAAACCCCTAAGGAAAATCGTCCAAAAATGGAGGTTTCCAGTAACCTGTCCACAAGCGGGGAAAATAGCACTGAAATATTACTCGCGACTGTCCTCATCGCAGTCCAAGATCAGCACAGGGAGTGGGAAAGTTGTCGAACCCTGCTGGATAGCGGATCCCAGATGTCCTTCATCACCGAAGAGGCTGTTGGGCTCTTGGGCCTGCAGAGAAAAGGAGTTAGCGTAGAGGTGTCCGGCGTGGGGTGACAGGTGCAGGCATCGTGCGAGGAAAGATCGAGGTCGAGATGAAACCCAGATTTCCCGGTAACTTTCGAATCAAAACCAATCTACTGACTATGAAGCAGGTTACTACTTCGCTACCAGTCCAGCCATTCCGGGATTTCGCATCCAAGCACGTTTCTGGTGAAGCAAGGGCTAAGGAAACCACAAGAGGGATGCATCTTGCAAAATACGGAAGTAGGTTGGATTGTTTCGGGAAAAACAAAGGTCGTCCGAAAAGAAAACGCACCAGTACAAAGTATGGGCGGAATCACAGATGAGGTCCGTCTTAACCAAGTTTTGGGAAATTGAAGAGATCCAACCCCAAGAAGCAGTAGGTAATGTTAGAGGAAGACAAGCAGTGCGAAAGGAAATATCAAGACACAATAACCCGGAGTAAAGACGGCAGCTACATCGTCAGTCTGCCGTTGAAGGGGGAGGCCGAGGACTTGGGAAGAAAAAAGCAACCGTTCGCTTGCTACAGATGGAGAAGAAGTTTTCCTGCGACCGGGACTTCGACTCAAAATGCAAGGCCTTCATGCGTGAATACGAAAACCTGGGGCTTATGGTACCTCGACATAAGGGGGAGGCAGCTGCGAAATATTACATTCCCCACCATGCGGTATTGAAAGAGGAAAGCTCCACCACGAAGTTACGAGTAGTGTTTGATGCCTCTGCCACCTCCAGATTGGGGAAGAACCTGAACGAGATGATGCTAACCGGTCCAAGGCTACAAGAGGATTTATCGCAGTTGCTACTCAGATGGAGGAAATACGCTGTAGTAATGACCGCTGATATCGAGAAAATGTACCGACAAATCAAGGTATGAGAAGAAGATCAACGGTACCAGGCAATACGATTTACTCACAGGCGCGTTCCACCCAGAAGCGGTGAAGTGCTTTCAACAGGAGTTGATTGAGTTGCTGAAGAGCGGAGGGTTCAATTTTAGGAAGGGGAAAAGCAACCGCAAGGAACTCATTTCCATTCTGCCCGACGAGCTGCAGGAAGAAGGGTTTATGGATCTGGGCCCAGAGGAGATAAAGAAGACCCTGGGCGTACAATGGGCACAATGGGATGTGTTTCGGTTCAAAGCAGATCTGACCCCGGAGAACACACCTACTAAGCGAATGGTGCTATCACAGATCGCAAGGCTATATGACCCCCTGGGACGAGAAACTTCCAGCCCAGTTTAGCGATAACGGGACAACATTCGTCGGGGCAGAAGCGCTGCTACGCAAAGAAATCTCCCTGGCAATCAAGCAGCCAGATCTACTACAAAGACTGGCATCAGACGGGGTGCAATGGCACTTCCGTCCCCCGGCAGCCCCTCATATGAAAGGTTTATGGGAAGCAGCAGTAAAATCCACTAAGTTCCACATGAAGAGGATAATTGGAGACAGTACGCTGACCTTTGAAAAATTATCAACAGTGTTGTGCCAAATTGAGGCCTGTCTCGACTCACGACCGTTGTGTGCCGTATCAGAGAATGCAGAGGACTTATTGGTACTTACTCCAGCACATCTCATCAACGGACGACCACTTCAGATGCCGCCAGATGAGACCGATCTGACAGAAGAGGTCCGGCCCACGACAAGATGGAAACTCCTACAAAAAATGAAAAGAGATTTCTGGAAGGTGTGGTCCACGGAATATCTCCATAACCTACAACTTAGAAGAAAATGGAATACCCAAACGACGGACCTTCTCGAGCTGGGAAGTGTCGTGCTCTTAAAGGACGATATAGTAGCAGCTACACTAAAGCCACTAGCTAGAATCAGTGAAGTACATCCCGGCGGAGAGGGGAAGGTCAGAGTGGTAACCGTGAAAACCCAGGGAAAGGAATATAAACGAAGAAGGCAATTGAAGCACAACTGTGTTTCCTTGACGATTTGCCATCGCTCCCTTGTTGACATTTCGCCAAACTTCCCGCCTGTTGGAAGGTGGTGACCTTCCTTACGGATGGGGCATCTCAAGATGTTGGTGTGATAGACTCGTGCCCAACATTTTTCTGCCTGTACCTTGTGGTTGCTGTCCTCTGTGGCCTTGCTGCCCTTTGTAAGTTCTAATGATTGAAATCGTGCTTTCACGAAGCTCAAGAAATTCTTGAGTGACGGTATCTCTTTGGGGCTGGTAGGGTGTTCTCAAAAGCAGCCAGGGTTGTTATATCCACTTTTTCGCGTACGATGTGCATCACCATTGGCCCCCATGAATCGGTTTCTATACCCATGTTGTTAATCGCGCGCAGACCATCCGCAATTGTGTCATGGATCGTTTTGAGTCCGTCTGGAGCGTTTGGACCCATTTTTGGCAAATTGAAGATGTTGTCTAGCTGCTTTGAAAGCAGCAACCGTTTATTTTGGTAACGGTTCGTTAGCAGCAGCCACGCTTCGTTGTAGTTGGCTTCACTTATTGACAGGTGTTGTAGCAGTTTGCTAGCTTCACCCCTTAGATTTGTTTTCAAATGCTGCATTTTTTCCACGTTGGTCAATCTCTTGTTGGAATGCACCATTTTGTGGAATAGGTCATGGAAGTTGGTCCATGCTGCGTAATCTCCCTCAAATTGCGGAATTTGTATCCATGGGAGAGGAATTTTTGGCAGAGGCTTTCTTGGCAGATTCGTAGTGTTCTGCCAATGTATCTCGTACTTCCATAATGTCTTCGTGGGCTTCTTGGATGGGGTCCCAGAGCTTGCGGGTGTGCTCTCTTTCATACTTCCAATACTTGCCGGCACGTTCCCCATCTAGTTCGCTTTGCGTGTCCCGGATGAGTGTCATAAGCCTTTTTAATTTGTTTTGCAATTTACGCATTTGCGGGTCTGTGGTACCCGGGCTAGGTAGGGAAGGTATTTCTTGTAAGCCTTGCCCTCCAGGTTTAGTCAGCGTTGCACTTCATAATTTGGGTAACTCCTTGTAATGTACTTAACCCCCTGGTTCTACACTAACTTCACACTACAAGAACACGGAAATAAAGTCAACCCGGGAACGTTTAAAAATGTCCACCCGAATGACTATTCTCTCCAAAACTAAACAAGATCCCGTTTAAATTTGAAAAGTGACACGTGATCAAACATCTAAGGCAGGGCCCCCTTACGTTAGTTGTAAGCAACACTATGACCTGAAGCACAGTAGGGAAGGAACGTAAAATAAAACACTATGAAATTGTGAAAAGTATTTTTAATAATATTATCGTGATTATTATGATTGTAAAAGCTCGGAAATTTAAGTCAAAATAAATTACATTGTAAAAATAAACTTTGAAAATGGTAGTTCACCGAAATAGGCTGAGAAAAAAAGAACTTACCAATAAAAAAACCAGCCGTTAAATTAATATTAAATTGTGTAGTAAAATTAATTGTTTGTAATGATGTGAATGTGTAACATAAAATTGTAACAAAAAAAAAAGTAGGATGTAGACTTCAAGAGGAAACATGTAGGTTAAAAACAAGTTTTGGGAATTATGGGTCAGGTAAGCAGGTACCAAGATTTTAAGAAAGGGTGAAATACACAGGATGTGACTCATCTTTGGTGCAATAAAGTTCTTTTGTTAAAAGCAAGATTGAAAATTACATGGCGTTGTAAGCAAATTTAGCTGTCGGTAAAAATATGTGGAAATTATTGAATCGCCACCCATAATATATCACACATAGATTCTAAACCGAAGAGTTTTGATTAGCATAATCTCGCCCCCGCAAGATAGGTAGCGTCGCCCTTCGTTCGGGGTGTCGAGCCTACAATTGAATGTCGAAGACAATCACGGAATTAGGTCTCGTAGCTCAATTGTGACTACAGTTTTCGCCACCCCCGTGACTGCTTCATTCACGAAGAAAATTGTTAGTTACCAACAAGTCAGTACATACATCAAACGAATCGGTAATTTCCACATACTAAAATAAGATGATCATAATTTATATGACTTACTTCACGTATAAGACCAGTAATCAACACATAAACATAAATTAAGCAAACATTACACCAAAAACGTAAACTATTACAAACAAAAAGATAACGGTATTAAACATGTCATTCTGCATTGCGGTTAAACCAAGTAAATTTCAAAAACGAAGATTGAAACACAAAAAATATAAAATGCGGCATACAAAACAGAAATACGATATAAAGAAATGTAAAAATTACTACCTGCATTAAATAACACAAAATAACAACAACCATTTATGGAGCGACGCATTTACGACCGCCATTCAAGAAAATATGCCAAACGTAACCCCTGTTCGTGCTTTCTAGATGGAGGAGGCGGCTTTTCCCCACGTAGAAATTGCATGGTTGCCAACCTCAAACATGTATGTATCGTCGTAAGTTGTATATACAGGGTGGAACCTCTCATCCTGTAATTCAATATTGTGTGTTTATCTTTACTTTCTTATGCAAAAGCGGACGATTATGTGGCGGCATTCATGACGTTTGTCTGCGAACATATTGTTTTGGACTGAAAAGTACCTATTTCATAGAAAAGAAATTACCTTGCAGCACGGCTTGTGGTGAGGTCAACGATGGCACTTGTTTAATAAGTGTTATAGACTCCTTTGACGCTCAAACAAACTCTATTATGTTTAATTGTACCATCGAAGTTCAATCATCATCAAAATCAGTCAAAAATACTTGATACTACCGCCTAAATTTGTTGACGTACTCCACTGGTGTACTATAGTTGTACGTTAGTTAACTTGTAGTTAGGAATGGGAATAGTGGCAAACACCTTGTCGCCGCTGTGCGGGTTGTAGCTCTTCACCTCTGCAGGTGGTCGCCTCTTCTCGATTCAATTGGCACTGCAATGTACAAATACATTTTAAGCAAAAAATAAATTTTCTCCCTCTACAGACTAATTTTATTCTTTCTGATTTGTCAGAGCCGTGGTGCATCACGAATCCCGTTCCACTTCAATTTAGTTAAGCACTAACAAGAACAAAATGTTATTCGTCTCTTCTTTAGCCTTTACTATAATAACATTTTATATAAATACAAGTAAATTGCATTTTTCATTTGTTACATTATACGCGTCCTGCTCCAAGCAATTTAATATAATGCCCTTTCCAGACTAACAGATTAAAAAAGGCTCTTACAACAACCTCGCTAACCGAATCAAATGCAATGCGTTGTGCTTTTGTGCTTTGACAAATAATTTTAATATACCTACGTAAAGCTCTTTGAATACATTTTAAATTAACAAAAAGGGGTTCAAATAAAACAAACGATATTAAAATTATGCCGTTGTTTGAAATGCATATCCGGTGCGCAGGTAAAACGATGATTCCGTCAAAAAATTTCTCTTGATCGACAACGTAAGTAGTGAGAAAGTAAATAATTAACCTGATTGAATCGCAATGAAAGCCATTGTAATGTCCCACAATTGCTGAACTGGATCTCTAAGGGTTCTCTAAACACTCATTCAGACATTGTCATGAAACCCATCACTACTGTCTGTATTAGCGTGCACATTATATGCTTTAATCTGCTGGCTTCAAGAGTGTTACCTATTGATAACGTGACAATAACAACAAAGCTAAACTTAGCGTAAACCAATACTGACGTTAGAACATCAAAGCATCTTCTAATTAAGTCCTATTGGGTTATAAAACGTAATAGGTACACATGCGGATTATGTTATCCTTTCTACTAGGATTGATAATCTATACAAGGAATTTCAACGCGTAGGTATTCCAAGCGGATTAGTTAATTAATCTTTAATGTGTGTAATTTAATTGATGTACCTACATGTTTGAAAGCTACCTGACTTCACTAAGATAAGGAATTGATGAGCGCTTCACGTGGAAGTATTTTCGAATCTAATTATGAACAGAATGAGATATGCCATATAGACTTTTGCAGTGATTCCTGCACCATGCATCTCCTAAAAGATCATTACCTGTAACATCACAGTTACAAGTTTCGTATTGTCGTACAACTCTCTGGTTTGGATCTATAGCTTCTAAAATTAAGGACATTTTGAGCGGTTTCCTTTTCAACACGATATTTCAAATTTAAACTTGCGTGAACCTGGCAGCCAGAATACAGCAGCCAAAACGCCGAACACGCACGAACGACCAATGGCGCCGGAGAATTCAAATACCTACACACAAAACAAACTACCTACTACGATAGAGAGCGTTACTATAATACAGCAAATAATCATGATACTCAATTCCACACCACCATTGAGGTTGAGCTATGAGCGCGTTTTTTAGAGTGGTATCCCCAGTAGGCCTAATCCACTATATGCTATATTGCACACATTATAAGAAAGTGACTATTGACATCCAAACTCTCTCAATGCTAGGCCTAAGTAAACATTCACAGAAGGTGAAGGTTTGACTCTCCAATGGGTGTGGGCCTAAGCCTGTGGATGTTTCATAACAATTTATTGAACTACACGGAAGGGCAAGGTTTGGCTAAAAAATACTGACCCTCTCAATGGGCGGCGTGGACCTGTGCTTGTGGTTAACGGTGTATTGTTAGGTGCGGTCTTCCATGAATGATGCTCTTGTTACGTATGTACGGTCTACCTTATAATACCGTGTAGTATTCCTCCGTGCCGTACAGATATGGCACTTGCACAGACTTCTCTGCATATGCACATGCACATGAAATTAATTTTGTTATACAAAGGTTAATTACACACCCTCAACGCCTTGGGGAATAGATGCCAATTTTATTATAAGTATATTTGGTGATTACCAATCGTTTAAGTATAGTCAGAAAGTGATACTCATTTTATGTGTGAAATTCGTTCGTTCTTAAGGGTTGATTACAACCTACTCTCATTCCGTCGGACAGTGATTGACAATTTTATTGTAAGCATGTAGGATAATTACTAATCTTTCGGGTTTTATGAGTAATTATTGTAAGCTTTTACTGAGGGTAGAATACCTGTAGAGTAATTTTGTGTGGGGTGGTAAAGTAAAAGTAAAAGTTTACGAGCTCTGATTGGCCTAATATAATGGGCTTTGCTCATGATTCTTCATTAGAAGTTGTTTGTTTTTTCGAGTCGAAACTATGAAGTAAACTCGACTACATTGATCTAAGTTACACGAACTTACAGAGAAAATATACAGATGGCATAACGGGTATTGAATTTAAAATAAAGCTGAATAAAAGAACGTTACAAATTTATATATATAGGTAGTCTTTTGGATTACTTACAAGTTGTTGTAATATTGCCATCTGAAGTTATAACAGATAATAAAATTGATTTCGAAAAAATGGACCTCTAGCTCGTGGATGAAGAATAATTGGGCAATTTAACATATTATTTATCTTAACTAATTTTTTCCCACCCTAACGTTAGTAAGGGAGGTATTGCATTGTGGTAAAAAATGACCCTCCCCACTTTTTTTTTAGGGAAATGCACGTTTTGAATCACCAAGAATTAGAATCAAACAAAATCTCGATGATCGGCGTGTCTGTCGGTCTGTCTGCCTCATTTCCGGTTACACGGCTGAAGGGATTTGAACCAAATTTGGTACACATATTCTTCCTAAACGATATTTTCGGGCGGGACTGTTTGATGAGCAGAGCAATCGAAGGAAAGGTCCATGACAGGAGGGGAAGAGCAAGACCAAAAACTATAATGGGAAGTAAAAGCAGCAAATGAAGTAGGATGCGCGGGATAGATAGTGGAGAACCAGATGCTACCTGTCTTAGGACAGTTCACCAGTTTAATAGGATCTTAATGTTATCATAATTATTTCATTGGAAAAAACACTGTATATAGCAATTTTTTAATGTTATGCAATTCTTCAATGTAATTTTGAAGTGAGAGTAGAAAATAGGCGCACCCAGGCTTCATTTTTTATTTCTGATCTACAAAGTACAATAAAAATAAAAAAAACGCGTGTGTTCTCAATTTTTATTTGCGTGTAAAATAAACCCAAAATAAATTATTGAAAAGCTGTGTTTTTAGTCCGAATTTGAAACGCTTCAGTCTAAATACGTCACAATCCTACAACCAATCACGTAGAAGTGAGCCGGAAACCTTGTGCGAGGGTCTGACGTTTGTCGGATTTGACGGTTTAAGTTTACTGCATGTAACGCGTAAGAAAACGATAAAGGCGGAAACACATTACTGTCACGCGAAGGTATGCTTAACGTGATAGCACGTGAGCTCACGTGACGTGACAGTAATGTGTTTCCGCCTTAAGTGACAAGTGCCTGTGACAGATGACGCAAGTTACAAATGACATTCTCCTGCAATATTGCCAAGTCGTATGTCATCTGAATGGTTCTAGCAGCTGATTGGTCAGGCTTATTAGGTCATAGAGCCCGACACAATCATCTCGTTTTGAATAAACCCCTAATACCGCACATGTTCATTATTTTTTCCGATCAGTCACTAGTTTTAAATAAACTTTTACTGTCCAAAAAATTGTTTTATGGTTTACGCTTATTAAATTAGAACTACGGAATACTATACTGTAAACCCCTCAATCAACCATTGGTAATAAATTCAGACAACGATACAGTGGGTTAAGCAAAAAGGCTCTTCTCGTCTCACTACGTTTTAGAGGTACACGGACGGTACACAGTTACCTAATAAACATTAATTCCACATTGTCGCATGACCTTCCTATCTTTTTCATTAAAACCTGAAACCTGTGGATGTAACAATTTTTATACCTTTTGATCTTCTTTTGGAGAATAGGTCATCTCTCGGGTCATCTTGTGAAATAAAAGAAATAGGTGTTTTAACTGTCTACCGAAGGACCTATCCTATGGTTTCCCTACTGTTATAGACTTTCAGTGAAATATTTTTGGCATTGGCATGTACGAGCCTTTGGTTCCGTATGAGTCACGCAATCGCGCCTAAACTTAAAAGTGCACATCCTCGATATAGTAAAGTATGTAGTTGTAGTAGATTTGAAATAGTTATTTTACCTAACAAGTTCGGTAAGTTAATTTTCCCGTATGAGCACTTTGTTTGCAGCACGACCGTAGGGAGTGCTGCATTTAGTGCGAATGCGGGAAAATTCTTTCCGAAAGAGTTAGGTACAATATTTTTTGTAACGAATTGCGTAAAAAAAGGTCAAAATTAATAAAGTTTTGTAAATTAGTTTTTTTTTTAATCATGAGTTGGTAACACAATCATATGTTTGGTTGGTAACATAATTTTATAACTACCTACCACGATACACTTACAACGGTATGCTCTTGCGCATCTAGTGTGACGTCACGTGCGAACAAAACCACAGAATATAGAGCAAAATTACGCTTCTTAGATAACAAATCACACTGATTTGTGTAGAGATCGTCGCGTCGGGTATTTCTGGGATTTAGCGATCGTATGAAATAAACTCTAACCAAAAATATAGGCTCTAAACATGAAGTGCGGCTTTTTAAGTAAATATTATGTAATTAATGCGTTATCAAAAGATCTAATCTCTCCTCCGTTTTCCTGTTATTTTGATTTTCATTATTACGTGGTGGTTTTAAAGTAGGTACAGGATCAGGTTTCAAATGTCCGCTATTTTTAAAAGTGTAATTAAGAAGTCGTTCCCATAGCGGTGCTTCAAAACGGCTGGATTCAAAATGGACAGAACAAATACAGACTATAAAATTAAACAGCAATGTAAATACTAAAATACACCATTTTTCAAGTTAATTTTATCATTACAACGACATGCAACAATCCATTTTCGAGAAAAGTCTTCAATGTCTGGAAATCGAAAGTATTATATTTCCGTTCCTTTTGATTTTCTATTAGAATTGCTCCATTGAACCACTACACAACCTGGCATTTTGGAATTTTCACTAACGATTAATTATATCAACAAAT